TTGACACACACTATGTCAATTCATTGCAATAGTTACTGGTGGCATTTTGATTCAAAATATTTACTGCATTAATTACTGACACAAAATAGCACTTGGATTCACTAACTTAACATTAACTTCACTTGGTTTAATTCCCGCAGGTACATTTATATAGTAGATGATTTAAGTCATTATCACTTAAAAGTTTCTGATTATCAATATGTAGAATAATTTGTAAACCACACTTTACATGCATCTTCCAGCCATCAGTAACTTCCATCTGACAAGATCTAATTTTGTATTGGAACAGTAGAATAACCTTAATATTCCGAAACAAACATTAAATCGTTATATACAGATATATACGCATATATATACACTTTTATTCCGAAAAACTAAATGTACATTCAAAAAACGCACTTCGTACCTCCGAACAGTAGAATGTAAACAAACGTCAGAAATGTGACGTCACTCATGTGGGCGGAGTTAATGGGGCGCTCATCTGGACTGTCATTGGCCAAATTTAAGCCGTTGTCCTAGCAGTGTACATTTTGCTTATATGCAACCCGGAAAACATTATCAACAAGTAGACTTCAAATGAATGATATGTCTGAATATCACATGTTTAAGGCACTCTTGTATCAAACAGCCTACTGATGCCACTTATTTGACGATATTGTGTTTTTCGTGTTTTTGTCTCCAATTCTGGTAATTCTAGCAGTATTTCAAGCAGTTTAGTGTTTTTGCAACTAAATTATCATAAGCAATATTCTGTTATTGCCCAGTGAATAATTATACATTCATAATTAAAGTTTTCAAGATAGATTATTCGTGGTTTATTAGTTTTTAATGTTTATTTTTGTTATCGTTAATTAAAAACGGTAAATTACTAATACGTATAATTTTAATACTAGATTAATAACAATGATATACAGAAATTAATATTTAATTATTAGTTTGGTTTATTTTTATAAATTATCCATTTAGTAGCTTCCTATTTTGTTTGAAAAATTTTTTAGGTTGGATATGAAATTCTCTATTTCGTTTTGACAATTTTCAAATACTTTCACTAATTTTATATCGAAGTTATAAACTGCATAATTGTCTGAAACGAGAGCAAAAGCTTTAAAAAAGTCTGAAGCAAAAGCAATCTGTCATTTTAAATCAAAAGCTAGAAAAGATTTATCTTAGTTGTTAAGGTCGGTCAACACGAGATAACATGCATCCGAGCAAATTTTTCTTGACGTCTGCACCAGTCCATCTATAAAGCGAAACATACTGCGAACGCCTGCGTCAACAGGAGTGGCCGTAAACATTACCAAAAACAAAAGTTGCTGGTGACTTGATTTGCAACAGTTAGTAAAATTCCGTATGTAAATCTAATGTATAGAACAGCTAACAATTTCATCTTGTTATTTATTCATCTAAAGTTATTATTGCTTCAAAAGTGCGAATCGATGTATGTGGTCAACAGCTATTACTTTTGCTCTGACTGACTTTTAAGAACAATTCTGAAGTGTCTGCCTTATTAATTAAATATGAAAAATCTGCATTTTTAATTGCCACTAAGCAAATAATGCAACACGACTATGAAAAAAATGTTAACACTACCATCAGATTTCCGCCGAAATTTATATTTTTCTATGTCTCAGAGTAGATATAAAACACGTCACGTACTTTAACTTCTTTGAATGGCTTAGTTGCTCAGAGAAACTTAAGAGCAAATTCTCTCTCTGTAGAGGAACTGCTGTGAAGCAACAAGTCTAAGAGGGAAACTTACTATTAAGCTGAGCAAATTCGTCGCCTCGTGTAGGTTGGTCTTGTAAACATGTTGAATACCGAAGCAGGCCAGAAACGGGGTCTCTTTTGTCAAAAGCTAGCAGAATTATCATTTTAAAAGAACGGGGGGGAGGACGCTAAATTTTGCATACACTGGGAAGTTACATATTCCTTACTGAATTGACCATGCACTTGAATGAACTGCACTTGGAATATCATAAGATATGCCTGAATACGATGCATACTTAGCTTTTGTTTTACTTTCATTAATTAAAGCAGTATATCTTAACTATTTACAAAGAGAAAAACCTTTGCACAGATATTCCCCACGAATCTTTGCTCTTGCTTAATGGTAGGTAGGTAGGTATGGCGCGTATGGTACGTATCAGCCTCCTGGCAAGCCCAAGCTCACCTTATAACCTTTCTAGACCAACCAAAAATGACTTAATGGTATGCTTATATAAAATATACCTTTAAAAGTGCACGGGGAATCATTGAGAAATAACTGGATAATGAAAACTTTAATTTATAGTTTCATGGTCTACTATGTAAATTGAGTTGATATAAGGAAGCGCCTTTCTTAAGGTTAAAATTTAGTATCTAACTTGTTGATGTTTGACCTGATAAAGATTTCGGGAAAAATAACAGGATTCTACTTCTCCTTATCAAAAATAGTATTTTGTATAAAATTTATTACCTTAATAATTTAGGTATCTGATTTCAGTACTCTTTTAGTATTAAGAATTAAGATTTTTTTTTTATTCTCCCAATTTTTCAACTGCGGCCGATGAATGAGTAAGAAAGTTTATTTATTTATTTATAAAATGCAAGGAATTTGGCTGCTAAGCCTTTAGCCTTGATCTTGCTTCCCAATACTTAAAAAAACAACAGAATTATAGTTAATAAATTAATAAAATTAATAAAATATAATAGTGCAGGGCATTGGTCATTAGATCCTTATCATGTACTAATAGCGATGTGTAAAGACTTAAAGATTGTAAAAGTTATTGTATAAATTTTATTTAAAACTTTCTGGCAAGAAAGAAGTTTTAGTCTGAAAGACTTTTTGAAATGTAGTATTTCATGTAGTAGAAAAATTGGCACTTGCTTGGAAAAGAATAGAAGTTAACAAGTACTACTAATGTATGTTTTAAAATGCGTAAAATTAACGGCATGTTAATATGTTCTTATATACAATGTGAACTGTTATTTTAAATGTTAAGAAATACTGTGATATGGTAAAAGTGAAAGTAATGCCAAAAAAATTTTAAACTTATTTGTGTGACTGTAAAAAGACTAAATCATGGTGAATATGTGTTAAAGGTTGAATGATGTAGTTAGGCTCTCTGACGCTACACTTCAGAGTTAGCCACTTTCAGAATAGTACGTCAGGGTTTAGAGTTGAAATTAGGGTGTGTTACGAGGTCTTGGTATGTTGAATTTTAACACGTTAGTGTTTTGATTGTAGGAGGAAGTGTTGAACACGTAGACAGAAACACATTCGTGTTTGGTGTTCTTTTACAACACATGTCAGAGAGCACGGGGAGAGATAATTAAAATAGTCATGAATGAAATAAGAATGTTAAGAGAAATATAATTATACATGTTACTTGCCATTTCATTGTGTAACATTTCATTAAACTAGTTTTCCTTCCTTCCAATTTGAATAAAAGCTCCTGTTTAGATGCAGTACAGATGAAAAAATTGTGTGTCCTGGGAGCTGCTATTGTAAAAACAATTTTTTTTCTTTTAAATTTTTAGTTTCTAGCGAAAAATGTTTGTAAAAGATTGGCCTCGCGTTAGATTCTAGAGCTAAAATTTTTCAACAAGGTCGTTTTAGACCTCAGTTTCAAACTAATTAACTCTGGCGGGAAGTATGTAAGGATCTTAAGTTTTACTAACGTTTATTTTATTTTAAATCTTTACTATCACTTCTTATTTTCTACTTCCGGCCAGAATTATAAGTGTTAAAGTATCTATGCAAAGTTTGTCTGGCGAACGCCAAGTATTTAAGTTGTGGCTTTTTGCCAAGCGAGAGAGAGGAAGCAGTTAGTCGAAGCAGGCCGCTTACCTTAGAAGTTCTACTCAGTTGCTGGTTGCCTTCCAGGCCAGAGGTTTAATCCTCTTGATAATTTTAAACGTATTGTAGTGTTCACAGTTCTCTGTACTACATACGGCTTCCTGTTAATATAAGGCCAATCTTCCACGTTTATTATTTTAAAGTTAAATTAGAGTTTAGTTTTATTTTTATATTTTTACGTTTAGACCACAAGTAGTGGGTCTTTGTATTCCGAAGTACGGAAGTTATTGTAAATAGAGAAAAATAAAGGGTTTTGTATACCCTTCTTGTGTATCCTGTCTACTTCCCACCATTATTGAACATAGCTTTAGTAAGCTCTCTGTTCCGAGTCAGGTCCTTGCACGTTCCCAAAGAAAGTAAGACGGAACATTGAACCTGATAACACCTGGCTGAGAACTATATTACGATAGTGCTACACGTTCCAGAGTACTGTTATTCATTTAGAACCAGTTGCCATATTCTTGTGGCCTTCAAAAGTGAAGCCTCTTCAGCAGGCACCTGAGAACACATAGTGAGAAGCCAGGCTTAATCTTTTCCACAATTTTCTTAAACCAAGTGGTCAACAGTCATACTCTTTTGAATTCTTAACACTTTCCTTCCCATGCAAAACCAAATGTAACATTCAAATACACAACCACAGGGTAAGGTATTCTCTCAGTAAACACACTTTAACATTTTATAAATGTTTGCTGCTTACTTCTGTAATTTACAGAAAAACCTGATGTTCCATGTGGAAATCCATGACAATGTGAACAAGAGGAGCTTCAGTTAATGATCTTCAGAGCTGAACACATCTTTACTTTTGTAATTCTTAATATGCGATGAAAAAACAGAAATATATTGTTACAATTCTGTACACAATGGGCTTCTTCTTTGAAGGTGAAATTTTTCCGCTTCGTTCAAACCACCTTTGAACTCTGTCATCAAGAACAACAAAAATTTTACAAACAATCTAACTAGGATTTTTAACTTTTTAAAAATAAAAGAGCATAATATGATGAAAATAAATTTTTGGGTTTTCCATCCTCAGCACTGCTCTGTAACAAAATTTATGCCACAATACATGCTATAATTATGCAATGTAAGAAGGAAAGCCTCTTTCAACATCTGCTTCGATCAAGACCACTCCTTATCAACAGTAATAAAATAATTAAAAGAAAACATACTTTCCTCTGGAAAACTGCAGAGCTTTCTGTATGAACAAATAATTTGATACTATACATATTTATACATATTTACTGAAAAGGTAACAAGCTTAATTTGGAGTTAAACACCAAGCGCAGTTTGCAGAGCACCGAGCCCAATTTCAACTTTAAAGATAGTTTTTGTAGTGAGTAAATGTATTTATTCCTAACTCCATTCTGTTTTAAAACGATTTATTTAGAAATGACATTCCGAGAAGTTGTAGATATAATAAGAAATATAAATAAAACATTCCGCAAATAAAACATCTGTCTCAACATTTATCAAAAAAAGACCAAGTAGAAATATAATTCATAGCCATAAGTACATAAGACAGCCACAGTACTGCTTTCATATTATTACCAATAATAATTACACATAAATGTGCACCTACCTGTTTTCTAATGTTTAAGTACATTTGGTAAGAGTTTAGTAACTGATGCTGCTGCTGAGAGTCCTCACTGCTAGAAGAGGCTGATGACGGATTCTGAGAGCCATTCTCATTGGTTGCCTCTCTAGCTCTTAATTTTCGTTTACGAGGGTGTACATCTACTTGAATTTGCATTTGCTCATCATTAGAACTCTCTCCAGAAGCATCACCCTTCTGATTACTAGAGGAAACTAAATTTGAGTGTGTCTCTGAACTATGACATTGGCTAGAAGAACCACCAGACATTGCAGCTTGCATGCGCTGACTACTCCGTGTTACCCTCTGGAATCTTTCTTCTGGCTGATGTACATCTTCTTTTGATTTACTAGATGCTATTTCAGATTTTGAACCTTCCCTGCTACCCTCTCCTGAAAATGGCCCACAAACCGATTCGGAGTTAGTATCCACAGTATCAGAAGTTGTTGTATTTACAACATACGGCAGTGCTTGCTTGGAAGATGACACCTTACTTCTTTCACGAGTCTCTAACTCTAAAGATCCAGTGCCAGATGGAATGACAATTTTTAATGGAGGAACTTTTGGAGAGTGAGGACCAACAGCAGTTGGTCCATTAAAATTGGAAGATGACTCTACATTTGCATCATTCAATGGTGCTTCAGCATCACTTTGGTTACTCTCAGTGTCTGAACTGGATAAACTCCCTCTCTTGCGAGTTTTTGGACTCCTCTGGTCACCATGGCCTTCTTGCTGAGATTTGCAAGGCGATTTATGACCCCTACCTACATTATGGCGACTCTGAACACTGTCACTACTTTTCCTTCTTTTGCGACGACTGTCTTCTTTTTCTAAATCACTGGCACATTCTTTGCTACAGGAATCACTACTAAGACGTCCTCCATTAACTTTAGAAACAACATTTTCTGAAGTGTCCATTTTCTCAGAGGGTGCAGACTTCTCTGATACTTCAGATTCGTCTAATTTTTTACTATCTTTACTACTTTCCTCCACCTCCTTACATGTACTAGTTACAGCCTCAGATTTAGTTCCAGTTCCTTCATTTTCTGGAATTGATGCAAGATTTTGCGTAGATGAAACAGTGGCATCCTCTTTACGGAAGTCATACACATCACCTTTTGTTTCCATTGTAACACAATAGGATTGGTACTTAGGTTGAGAAGAACTAATGTCATTAACCTTGGCACTGCTTGAATTTTTGTCATCCCTTGATCTGATAGACTGAAATCGAAGAGTCAATCTTGGGGAGGTGGGTTTATCTGCACCTACACACACATACACACACAAAAAGGTAAAAAAAGATATAGTGAACATATTACTATATATACAATTTGCTTTTTGATTAAATTCTTTCTTTCTTAAATATACCTTCTGAAGGCCATACACCAATAAAGAACAATTTTAACATTTACACATAAATTTGGAGGATAATTCACTTTTATAACTATAAAATAACACATTTAGCTCTCATTAAAACATAACTACACTGCTAGCCATTAAAACTGCAACACCATGAAGAAAAGCACATACAAAAAATATAGTTAATGTGCATAAACAGTATGGCATGAAGACAAAATGGTCAAATTTGTAACCAGTCTGGGAGTTAAACTTATTAGAAACAGCTGCCAGCCTTACCCAGTCAGGCATGGAGTCAAACTGGGCTTCGATGACAGAAACGATCAACTCATTTCATGCTGCTTCACGTCTACATCACTCCTCATTAAAGCCCACCAGCGGCCGAGCGGTAACGTCGCTGAACACCTGGTAGTTCGATCCGAGGTTCGAATCCCGCGAACGGGCTGGCTGCGTGGGCGTTTTCGTGGTTTTCCCCATGTGTAACATGTATACGAGCCAGTTTCCCTTAGAAAGTCCTCCACGAAGGCATCCCTTCCCTTAGGCAGATAGCCCTCGTGTGCTTTGCCATAATTAAATACACCAACACCAACACCGCTCTTCATTAAAGGTATTGGCTGGAGCGAGGAGGTGGGCCAGTCTCTCAGCAACCCATGCCCATATGTTTTCAATGGGTGACAAATTTGGAGACCCTGCAGGCCAGGGCAGCAAGCGAATACCCTGTGTATCGAGGAAGGTCAGAACATGAGGTGCAACATATGGTCTTGCATTATCTTATTGGAAAATGGCATTTGGCAGACCTCGAAGATAGGGCCCAACCACTGGATGTAAGATGTCAGAAATGTACCAATCTGCGTTCATCGATCCGAACTAGAGAAGTGCATGTCGTGTACTCAATGGCTGCTCAAACCATCACACCAGGTGCAAGGCCCCTATGACGATACTGAATGCAAACAGGCGACATGCGGTCTCCCACCATACATGTATGTGATCAGAATACTGCACGGAACTGGGACTTGTCTGAAAAGACGATGGTAAAAGTATATTTTATGGGCAACCCTTGGTGAAAATTGGCAATTTTTCGCGGTATACGGACCAACCGTTGATTTTTTAAAGCAATTCTCTGACTTGTTATTTTACCTTTGTGTAGCTGCGATTTTAATGCCAAAAATCACCGTTACACAAAAACAAAATAATAAGTCAAACAGTTGCACAAACTCAGTATCCATGTACACATCGACCTATTTTCACTTAAAAAAACATCAGAGAATTAATTGCACAAACTTGGCTTGGCGATAAATGAAACAGCTCCACGATAATACAAGGCGTACCCTTCAGTCTACTCTAACCAAGACAACATTCTGCCACTTCTGTATCCAGCTCTGTAGTTCAGAGCACCAGAGTCGCCGTCTCTCTCTATGCTGCAGGATTGTCAGCGAAGCCTAAGTAATGGCTGCTGCGCTGATAGTTCATGCTGCTGCAAAGGTCAACACACCCTATGAGCGGACACTGAATGTGCTGCAAATATGCCAATTTTCTGACTAATGGTCTGTGACTTGGTTGTACAGTTTTGCAGGGCTGACCTCACAATATTTCTCTCCTCTCGGGTGTTACCCATGGGAGGGCATTGAGATCCAGCATGCTGTTCAGCATGACCCTCAGTAATACATTGGTTCCATATTCATAGGACAGTGGTTGGATGTCGACCAGTGTGATGGGCGATATCAAGGAATGATCATCCACACTCTCGATAGGCAATGATCCTGCATCTAATGAATTACTTGCATCTGCATCTAATGACACTTCGTGGTAAACATTTCTTCTTCTTATTCGAGGCATAACACGATATTCTAAGCAAACTCCGACCTTACAAAGCGCTATCCGAATGAGAAAACCACTACACAACTTTTCTTTTATGGAGTTCTTAAGACATTGTTTCTCTCTGCCACATGGTCTAAATGCACTGAAATAGTAATCATTTGCATATCCCAATCTCTTATTCCTTTCATGTGATTTTGACGTTCGTCAGATGATTGCTTCCTAGTGTTGCAATTTTAATGGCCAGCAGTGTACAACGATTTTTTTTTTCTTCATCTTGGAATTATATATTTACATAAGCCTAATTTCAGACCATCAGTTTTTTTAACCTTTACTTGTGCTGCCTGAACAAAAATATGCAATATTTGCAGTGCACAACCTGACACTGTACATGAGAAAAACCAGCCCTTCTTTTCCATGAAGGCCAAATTTGAGTTCATTTTCTTTCAGTTTTAAAAGTGCATAATTATGGTTTGGGTTTCACACAGTTCACTTTGTTCTTTATTTTATAAGTCATTTTTAAGAATTTTAACATCATCCTTTTCTTTGGCAATGCCTAATTCACATGAGAGTACCTTTCAGATTCTTTAAGCTGAAAATTTGAAATTATATTAATTTTAGTTTTAAGTTTAACATTAATTTATTATATTTAGCTTTAATATACCATCTTGATGATCATATATCTATTCTGACATAATTAAAAATTCCAAATTAAAATGTATAATGATATATTAATTTTTACCCATATATGTCAAAATATTAAACATGGCAGTTATTCCATTTAAAGCCTAGTTTTCTTTCCCATGATTGCTCTCTTCAGCAATATAAGATATAAAGTGTATAAAAAATTTCCATGTTTGGCTCATTTTCCCAAAATATATGCCATACTTAAAGGGTTTAAAGTCAATAGATATTACCAACTTCCATCTCATAGTTTAAAGATTATAATTCTGATTTAGATCTTAAAAACATTGCTGTAGAAATGACCTTCAGATGTCTCATTTTTGGTATGCGAAAAATGAGCATTAAAAACTGAATTTGTCCGAAATTTTGTGCCTACACGCATGCTGGAAAGTTAACTTGTAAAGTACTTTAAAAATTATATTTATGCACATTATGCAAATACAATGATGCATGAAAATTGACATGCATACCCTATGTTCAATAATTACTTCTGTATTAAGTTCAAATTTATTAAATGAAGCATTACAGCTAGTCTCAAACCTCTCACTCTCAAAGTAGTTGTATAAAAAGAAAAATGCACTATCCCAAATAAAACTGACATACAGATACAAAAATTCTTACAAAATAACAAGAGACAAAATCAGATACCTTTATGTGTTTGATTTTGAGGTGAATTCTTTCTCATGGTAAGATCACATAAGGCTGAGATAGGATGGCAGGGTGACTTTTCGCTCTGCCTGTTTCCCACAGCCTCAGGCGTTCTGAGGAGGCCTTTTTGTGAACCAGGCCCTTTAAAAAGTAAAATGTACAATTTGACATCAGGTATTTAAAAAGCACAATACAGCAATGAAAAAACAAAACAATAAAAATATAGAATAAAAAAATCTGAAAGGTTTCAGATTTTAAATTATGTCTATAGTGGCATTTTTTTAATGCCTTGTGTGTTACCTTTATTTATTAAATATCATGTTTGAACTATAAAATTCAGTTCAACAGCAATGTCCCAAAATAATTTTAAAATGAGCATATCTTTAGAATTTCTTATACACAGTTCCATGCGCTAGAGATAACCCCCCCCCCATAGAGTGTTGCTATTGCTCGCTTTTAAATCGTTGAGTTTGTTAATAAAAAATTTGTTAAAGTTTTACAAAATACGAAATCAATAAAATCAATAATAAAACATATTCCAAATTTCAAATTTCGGCTTTCAGATGCCCGTATTCGCAGCAGGATTATGTCATTCAAAATTGGATGGCTCTATTTACCGTTGTTTTATCACAATGCAAGAAACATACATACATTTATGCAGATTCTTCATTATTTAATTTCTTCAAATATAATGCAGGGCGATAGCATTTGGCGGCAATGATTTGAAAAGTGGTATGTCGTTTATAGGGTTCTGACGCAAAATCGCAAAACGAAAACAATAATTCTTCAGGGACAAAGCCCCTTTGGACTAAAAACAAATGTATGGAAATAGAACCCAAGTGAAAATTCCAAATGCAACAAACATTTACTAGTCATCTTGATTCTCAGACAATAGCTGTTATAATGATGAACCTGGAATATTCAAAAACAAAGTTACACTTGATTACTGCAGGTCAAGAAAGTTTTATAAGGCACATTGTTTTTGGATGCATTACAACTTTTTTCATGTAATCATTGTCTCTGTAGACACTTAACATATATTCGATTAATTCTCTGCCAATACTGATAGAAATTTGCTCTAATGAATAAAAATAGACTCATGGCATAAACATCATTTTCACAAGGCTATCAATATCAAAGTGTTATTCATTCAGATACACAAACTCCAGCACAATCTTCAAGACTGCTACACTGCAGCTGCTGCAAATCACTTAATCAATTACCAGAGCAATTATCTTCTATGAAAAACATTAACCAAGTCCCCCTACCCCAAACAGAATCAGGTTCAAACTGTTGGCACAATTTTGAATATGGCTAATTTTGGGTGAGGTAAAACATTCACTACGAATTTCAATTAAATATTTTGCCCTCAAAGATTACACTACATCTCATACTCCAAACGTGGAGCAAAATTCTTGTTACATACATACTACTTTGCTTGCATATTACATTTCTTATTGCAAACAGAATGACTTGTTTCCATAAGAAAATATGAACATGAGCTTTATTCTGTGGATGCAGCATTCTTGTGCAAGCATGCCAATTCTTATTACTGCTAATCTTAATACCTCTAACCCTTAAACTAAATTGTGAAATTCTTTTTTCTGAAACTTTTCACAAACACTACAATCTTTGCTGTTCTAGCATATCATTAAAATTTCAATACAGCAATTTCTTCTCAATTTGCTTTCCCCTACTCAAAACAACATTTTAGCATTAAAATTCTTTAGTTCATGTTTTGCTATTGGAAACATCATTTATTGCTCTCCAACTGCTCACACTAAAATGAATGCCTGTTACAGGGTGTTTTTCCTGTTCATTTATAAGCTTGAAATCAAATTTTATACACATCTGAAACTTTTCGCTCAAAACACTTTTGATAATAAGCAATAATTTTATTGGGACCAAATGTCAGATACATGTTCTCATTAAATTATCTTTTTGGAAACCATAGCAATCTTATATTGGGTGGCCCAAGATAAATCAAACCACACATAGGAGACCTCCTTTGGATTTATTCTGGGACACCAGATACAACAGCTTAACATTATGAAACATACTAAGTTACCTATTAACTGTAACATTAAAATGAAATAAATGTATGCAGTAGGGCACACCTTAAAAGCATGACACAGCATTTAGTAAGCTTTCTTACAAGAACATATTCAATATATACTGATTATCAAAATTAAAGGATAATGACCGAGAAAAAATATAACTTAATAAAAATTAATAACAGAAATGTGTAGAAGAGCTTTAGATAACTTAAATTACAATGTTTGGCAGTTGATTATTCACAAAACATTGAAATAAAAACCAAATTTATGGAAACTGAAAAATTTAAGTTGCCTCTTGCGGGAAATTTTTTTCTTTAATATGGTGTTTGGTCACCTCGAACAGACATGCATCGCATCTTGATTTCATAACACTTTAACAAAGTATTGAACAAGTCTTGTGGAATTGCATGCCACTCTTCTAAAAGTGCACTTTTCAGCTCCTAGAGTGTCCAGAGAGGAATTTGGCATGCTGAAATTCGATGCCCTAAAGCCTCCCACACATGCTCAATCAATCAGTGAGTAAGGTGGCTAATCCATTTGAGCGATATCTTCAGTTTGCAAGTATTCTGACACCACATATGCTCGATGAGGCCAAACACTGTCAATCATCAGCAAAAACTCTAAGCCAACAGTACTCCTAAACAGTCTAACTTGGAGTTTCAATACTTTTGTCCACATATCTCCGAGCAGTTGCAGAACCTAAGTGAAAACGAGAGTGGTTGAACGTTGAAGTAAAGATCCTGCCTACATTTCGCTGCTACTAATCATTTGCCAGAGCTGAGACACAAAATTCAAGAGGCTATAGCTTCATTACCCCGGACTTGTTAATCAAGCTGGGAAGAATTGGACTACAGGCTTACTTGTGCTGCAGCATAACTAAAGATGCATGCACTTTACACTTGTAAGAAAAACTAGGTTCGTTCCCCTTCAGTTTGATACATGATTTGTTGTAAATAGTCTAAATTAAACTGTTATAATACCATTAAAATTAGAACATTCTTTTATGAACATCCTGTACAGTGCATCATATGCAAAATGTTCATGAATTGCTCATCCACGTAAGTTTAATTTTTAACAGCTAGCTAAGTTAATTTTTTGTGTTTTGCTAAGCCTCAGAAAATATTTAAACTGACATACAAATTTAAGAAAATATTTCAAAATTCTGATGATATTTTTCCTTTAAAAAACTTCATATATAAGTTCTAAAAAATTCACCTCTACTGATATCAAATCTACACAAATGTTTCTATAAAACTTCATCACTAAGGACTAGAAAGCATATATGCATTCATGCACAGTCATTCAACATATCAGACATTTCATACTTTACAAATGTTTGCTTCCCTAGTACCTGGAGAAATATTTCAGGTACATGCAGCTGGAATGCAAACATATGCATATGCAATTCAGATTCATAATATTTATACTCTTTTTCAATTTCAAAAAGATTAAAAAATACGATTAGAAGAGTGTTAACCCTCCAGTTAACAATGAAAAAAATCAAACAATATAACTGATGTCAGCAGCTATTTCTTGTAGGATTGCTGTAATGAATTAGCTACTAGCTAAAAAAATTACAACTGCCTAAGAATGCTTTTCTAGGATTTTATATGAGAAACTAGGTTCATAATTATGCTGAACACGGAAAGACTACGAATATATCAATTCAATCAGCCAGTTTGATGAGATTTGAATCCAGATTAAGACATCAGTGTTTAGCAGTATAACTTCTCTCAGTATAGACAGACAGACTCCAGCTTTGTTCTGATGTCAGAATATTAATTGCAGTCAATATATTTTCCACCAAAAGTTTAGCTAATGTGCCTTCGTTGCAATAAATGGTAATCACGTGCCTAATTAACCCTTTGATGCGCACGATATTATTTTTTTAACTAAAAACTCTAGAAATTGAATATCATGATCATAGAGACAAATAATATATGAATTTAAAAAATCTACTCTTGCCCATTGTTCTGTGGGTGGTAGTTGCACTGTGAAACCACCGCACATCTAGGCCTTTGAAACTTACTGATGTAGTAGGGGGAAAAAACTTACCATTTTCCGCGCGTGTTTCCAATAAATGACGAAATTTACCGATTTTAAAAAAAAAATGTATGCAAGAATTGCATTATATATAATTTTTTACATTATTTTACAAAGTAAATCATCATAAAAAATTAAAAAATAAACATTATATAATTTTTCAATAGCAGTGAAAATAAGTACCTACATAATAAGGACATTTGGATAAATGGATTGAAAAAACTCAATAAAATAAGGATAAAGAAGAACTCATAAATTTCAAAGAACAAATTCTTTTTTGTGACACTGTTCAAAGCATGTTTTGTCTCTTTGGTACATGCATAGACCCACATTGCCCATTTTGCACATACATCTTGTTCTATGAGGTTTCTTCCTTGTGCTACAAAATGTACACTGCCTGGATTTAAATTTCACTGGTATATGTCCAGCGTTATTTAGTTTTTTTTTCATCTGGCACATGAAATTTGCGGTTTTTTATGTTAATGGAGGGGGGGCTTGGTCTTTTTGGCTTTGTACAGATCGTTCGTTTCCCATTCATACTTATTTTATTCGTATTTCGTCCCAAAATATTCAGAAAATATTTTTAATTTAAATAAACTTTTACACAATTTCTATTTTTAATTATAGCAAAGTATATTTACATTAAATTTAAACCACAGGAAATAATTTATAAAATCACAATGCTAGCTTGGGGAGCAAGTGTGAGTATATTTACATTAAATTTAAACCACAGGAAATAATTTATAAAATCACAATGCTAGCTTGGGGAGTAAGTGTGTTGATGTCAGAGAAAAGTATTTGGAAAAGAAAGACCGTTTTACTGAGCAGGTGCATATATTGTTTAGTAATAAAATAACTCTGTGGTTTCAAAGCTCTTTACTATATCCAAATAAAAATAAACACTCCTATTTGAAAAGCAAGCGAACGCCATTGAGAAGCAAACGTCCCACCGAGCCCCTAGAGGACTGTAAGCATTGTAACACAATGCTCTAGTGATGCAGTGGTCGCGCCCTGAAACCACATAGCAAATGCCATACATATAGAGGGTTTTTTTTAATGTATGCAGTTTAATTACTGCAATTTTTTATTGTTCATGATAGAAATCATGATGTGCGATGACTAACTTTTGAAATTTAAAGTTGTTTATATTAATAAAAGGAAGTTATTTTGTCTCATCGAAAACAAGTTTTAAAAGGCATCTGATCTGAAGTATTAATACCTAAAACATGCATGATTCTACAGTCATTTTGTGTTATTTAGATGTAAAAGATCAGTAATCAATTCATTTTCACTCAAAAATTTCGGAAAAAATTTCCGAAAATGGTGGTTTCAAGGCGCGACTACCGTGCGTCAAAGGGTTAAAAGAGCTTACAACCAAATCTCAGTGACTCTTTTACATGCATTGGTTATCATTAATTAAGGAAAACTCACAAAAATGATGATTACTCAAAAGTTACACGCAGAATTTAATGACACTGAACTACAGTATACAACACATAGTAAGGTATAAAATTGCACGAAAAGAAATTACCAGACAATTATAGTGTTACAGAAATTAATTATCATATGTATAAAATGAACAAACTGGATGTGTCAGTTTGGTATAGGAAAATTACCTTTAATATGGAGTTTGATCTTCCGTAGAAGAAATCCACCACATACAGCGATGTGTGATGCTGCCAACTATAAAATCTATCAGTTCAGTAGGAAGTGAGAGCCACTGCTTTCACAAAACAGTTGCAAGTGTGCCAAGGGTCTGAAGAACAGGATTGAGAGCAGATACACGTCTTCCTAAAGCATCCTAAACATTGTCAACAAGATTCAGATCTGGTGACTAAGCTGGCCACTCCATGTACTGAACTGTTTGCTGCTGAAGATATCATCCACGATGCGAGATCTGTGCAATCTAGCGTTGTCGTTCTGTAGCAAAAAATCATCACCTACTGCCCCGCCATAAGGGTGCACATAAGCAACAAGGATGTCAACTCTACACGCCTAAGCTTTCATGTTTTCACTTGGAAAAACATGGGGTTCTGAGCATCCAACCAAACAGATGCCACAGCAAACACAGACACTGCCTCCTCTGTATGCATCTATTTCAAGGATGTTTGATGGATGATAAAAAGCTCCAGTTTCTCTCCAAATCAAATAACACCTACTATCACTTTGGAGGCTAAATTTGTACTCATCCATAGAGAGAACAGCCCTCCATTGATCAGCCGTCTAGCGGACATGCCCACCTCAAATGTTCCCTTTTATGTTGTGACGCGAGCAGCACACAAACGACCAGTCACCTTGCGTACAGACCTCCTTTGTGAAGCCTCTGCCGCTGACACGAACTTTCTGGTGGCTGCAGGATCTGATCTGAGTTTAAGATGCAGTTCTTTCCTTCATTCACATAGCAATAAATATCAATCTTTGATCCTCATCATAGCAGTTGGCTGTCTTTGGCTGAATCTCCTAGATGCCGAATCTGGGGTTAGAAACTGTTGCCAAAGTCTATAAGCCAAAAAAAGGACTCACAATTAGCCATTTGGCTACTTCTATCTGACTTTGTCCTGCCACTCGTCTCCCAGTAGCTCTCCATCACAGTTACAAATTGGTTATCCCAGATTTCTTATCTTAGTTCCACAATTAAATTTTAAGGCTTTCTCTCAAACATGCAATTTTATGCTCCTCGCAGATGACAGATTTCGACTGCAGTGTCACTAATTTGCACGCTGCAGTTTTACTCAACAACTCTTATTTGACAACATATTCATATTTTATACACATTGGCTTATTACTTCCTTGAACGAAGTAAAAAGGAAGTATTGTAATCGCGAAAAGTTTCAGGCAGCATATTTCAACGAAAATATCCATTTTGGCCACTATTGAATGCAATTTAACGATGTTTTTGCGTGATATCTGTATGTAAGGACAGAATAAAAGACTCTTTTCCTCCAAAAAAATTATAAAACTGCTTTAAAATAAATTCTGAAGAGAATTTTTCGTGGTGTCTGTACGAACGTACATACGTATCTCGCATAACTCAAAAACGAGAAGCCTCAGAACGTTTAAATTTTGTATATAGGACTGCTATAACATGTAGATGTGCACCTCGTATTTTGATTGCAATCGGCTGCACCAAACATATATAAATATATTTATATAGATATCCACTCTGTTACCCGGTTCAGTGTTCTCAGTTTCTTTACTCTTATATGTTTGTAAATTGTACATTTTTTGCTTTAAAAATGATTGAATTATGTTGCTCTTATCTTCCGTTTAAGGTTTTTATGCCTTTAGTAAATCTGTATCCAATCTATTTAGAATTATCAACAATTTTAAAGCTGTTTAAGTGCCGCTAAGCCTAATAATTTTTTTTTGATGGCGGCCATTGTTTGTTTACATTTGAAACAGCAGACTAGTGGATTTGTTGAAAATCTAGAGAAACTTAGCTTCACAACAACAAAGATAATGCCTTCATTTATTATTGTGAATTAAATCATGCTTAATCTTTTCTGGAATTTTTTCGAGGAAATATGTGTTTAAGATTTACTTCGTAATTTTTAATACATATGTTTTGAGTTTTTATGTATTTTTGCCTTGTCGCGAAGTGAGAACTGAATTAATTGAATGAGAAATTCTCAATCGCCTGTGAAAAACTGTTTCTTTTTTTGTTTTGTTTGCTTAATTTCTTTTATACATTGTTCTAGCTTTATTACAGTATTTGAATAGAACATGTGGCAACGATTAGATAATTCTTTAAATGATATAAATTTTGTGCATTCTGAATTATAATATGAACGAAATATAATACTGTTAAGTGAATCTAGTGCCAGAGTGTCGCTATGGTAAACAAATAGAGTGAATTTTAAAGAATGCATTTATTCTATTGTGGTTTATGCGCTGTCGGTGAAGTAGATTTAATTCAATCCAATAAGTGTAAATGAAATGCAAGAAAAAATGCGTATAATTTAATATTCCGTATAAGGAAGTCATGTGGTGTACACATCAGTTTTTTTTTTTTTTTTTTTTTTTTTTTTGGATAAGTTTGTGATTTTTCCTTAACTTCTGGAAACCAGTGTACCATTAAAAAATTTATATTTCCTCATTACAGTTAAACGTCCCACAGAAACCGTCTTTATATTACTAAATAAAATCACAAGATAGATTCCTAATACTAAATATTACAAGTAAAATAATCTTGTATTTAAAATTAGAAAGCTGTATATTTTTATACCGCTTAAATTTTTTTGCTTCTGTAACTGTGCAGCTTCTTTCAAAAGTCGAATAATTTCTTCTGATCTAGCAACATCAAGAGGTGTTCTCCTATGAGCATTTTTCTGCAAAGGGTCAGCACCATATTTCAAAAGGAATTTAACAATCTAAAAAAAAAAAAAAAAAAAAAAAATTATATTATATAACTTTATGAACTTCACAATATTTAAGAAATGAAGCTCACAATCATTATAAACTAGCCAAAAATTTTTTCATAGACTGATGAAAATCTGATTTCTGTGCACTTATGTTTGCTGCTTAGATATGTATCGATTTGTGTTATGATAGTAAATAAAAACTTTTTAAGAAGATGCAGATACAATGAACTTTTAAATTATAAAATGTGTTTTTAATTGAGAGCACATTCCATATCATAAATGAAACCCACAAAATTTTGATGATGATCATACTGAAGGTCTAATATTAAAATACATAAAAATACTTTCATCTGATTTTAAAAAATCATAACTATTAAGCTTTTAATCCATTTATATTAAATAATATATGGGTAGAAAGAGGGAAATTTCGAGTTTCATGAAGGTGGTGAGAGATAACACTAGCACTCTTTCTTCCCCTGACACTTCAGCATTTGTCTAGATGGCGGATGCACAACAGAAATTCTTTTGTGTTCTTTGCTTCGCAATCTGCATGTCTATAAAAACTGTTCAGCATGATTTTCATCGAAAATATGCAGGTGCTCAACAAACTACCACTCAGAGCATTAGGCGATGGTATAAAGAGTTGAAAGACATGGGTTGTATGCATAACAGGAAATCACCTGGTCTTCTCCACATGCCAGTCACAAATGTGTAGTGCAACCGACAGAATTTTGTACATAGTCCACAGAAATCTACTTGTTATGGTGGTCAAGAACTTGACATTCCTGCAGCCTCTGACTGGCGTGTTTTGTGGCAATGTCTGTCTTCCAACTATGTAGGATTCGACTGCTGCGAGTTCTTCATACAGGTGACCGACTGCTGCGAGTTCTTCATACAGGTGACAAAGAATATGTAGAATATTGTGGATTATTCCTTCAGAATGTGTCAAGAGGTGACAATTTTTTAACATACTCTCATGTGCTACTCTTCACCTAAGTGGCAAAGTCAACTGCCTTTCATATAAGCCACTGTTATGGGAATCACATATCTCGATATGCTTGAAAACTGACTGACCCACAGTTAGAAACTGATTCGGACGACTTTGTTTTCCAGCATAATAAGGCATCACCAAATTGCTGCTTAGACATTCCAGAATTTTTTAACAATCGCAGTCCTTAACAATGGATCAGCCCTTCGGGACCTAACGATTCAGTTAAACACCATTGGCAGAGATGGTCGGACTTGTCAGTGTGCAATTTCTTCTTGTGAGAGTTTAAAAAGACTTTGTTTATGTGCCTTCACTTCCAGCTACATTAGTCAAACTGAAGATAAACGTAACAACAGTTGTGGAAGCAATGGATGCAGACATGCTTGTGAAAGATTAGTACAAATACGACTACTGTATTGACATAAGCCGTGCATACAAAGGTGGACATATTGATCATTTTAAATTTGGTTTGTAAAAATATTTCAGCGTTAGCCATATAATATAAAATTAATCTTAAGTTTTTATGTTTAATATTTTTACTAATGTATGCCTTTCAAATCAATTGATTTTTTTTAAACACTCTGTATTGCTGTTTTGTTTGCAAAAGGAACAGGAGAAATGATAAATTCGAAACACTCATAAAATGAAGATCACTTAACCTACAAAAATTTTGCTATCAATAGAGGAAATGTAGATCTTAAAACATTGTAGTTCTCTCCATTTAAGTAAAGATTCACATATTTCTGATTCAAAAGTCCTAGTAAAATCAATGGACAACTCAGAGTGGGATCATAAATTAGCAATCTACTTATAGATCAGATATTTATTTAGTAACTGAATCTACTTATAGATCAGATATTTATTTAGTAACTGAAACTAGCTTAAAAAACATTGTTTTACAATTTTGTAGAAATGTTTACAAAATTTCATTCAGACACTGTAAGCAAGGAACAAACTCCTGCATTAACTTTTAAAATTTTACAAACTAACATATCTTTAATTTCTGAGACTGAGAAAGGATGTCACAGTCATTACAGATCTAATACTAATTAACTTTTAGCATTTCATTAGATGTGAATTTCAGGACAATTTTTTCAGTAAGTTGCATATTTCCATCTTTTAAATGCTTTTCTTCCTTGATGCACTATGAAATCTACATGTGGTACCAACCTTGAATAATTGGAAATTTCATGTCCGAATGGGAACACTTTTATAATGATTAATTCCCATAGACCTTGAAAGCGCCTAGCACTTCTTCATGCATAAAATAAATTTCTTAATGAACATCATGGCTCTGATTACTTCAACAAAAGACCAACACTATTTGGAACTGTATGAATTGTTTTATGTAGATTTCAGCACATCTACATTCAGTACAAAAAAGCTGTACAAATAAATTGAGTACAAATTCATACATTATGATGCAAGTGACAATATATGTGATATAGCAATTTACAACGTGATATAAATCTTATTCGAATCTTTAAGTAAGTTCTGCATAAGATTTGTGTGTATACACACACACATATATATATATATACATTACAAAGTCTGTAATCCGGACGTCCATTATCCGGAATGATCTATAATCCAGACCTCAAAGCCTAAAACTTTTTTTTTGTATGCTTTACGCATGCGTGTTTAATGCTACGCATGCGTATTTAATGTTTACGCATGCGTGTTTAGCACAAAAGACGAAGCAACTTAAAGAACTTACATTGAAAGAAATTTTTAATAAAGTAAACAAATAAATATTAAGCTTTTTTTTATAAATTTTGATACCCTTTAGATCATAATTGCTCTTTATTTCATAAATTGATGATCTATAATCGGAAAAACGCTTAATCCGGAATCGCCGAAGTCTCGACGAGTCCGGATTACGGACTTTGTACTGTAGTAGCTTTGTAAAAATATTCAATAATTTTAAACACAAGATGACTTTGCACTACAAACTGTTCTATTTCAGTGGTCTTAATTTGGTGAAGTGGGCCTTGAAGCAATTTATATGGCCCACAAAGGCAATTACATTTTTGTAGTAAATACATGTTATAAAGATTATTTCCACTGAAAATTAATAAATCTATAAATAGAATTTATTAATTTATACTGCGATATAAATCTTATTCAAAGATTTGAAACTACAGATTTCATTAAGTTTTATTAGTACTTATCGGAAAATAAATTTAAAGCAATAAATTTTTGTGCTGACAATAATTTTTTGGGGGAATACATTTATAATTGAACAGCTATTTTTCATAGTTGAAAACTAATAAGAAATGAACCCGACTAACCAATGAGTGTCTACCATCTGTGATGAAGATAATTTCCTATTTTATCAAAATCTAAATATCATAAAGCTACAGTTAAAAAGTAAAGATGTTAATAATTATTTATAAACATACATATTTTTATTTATGTGCCAAAAAATAATAAATAACAGAAAGAACTATGTTGTCATTATTTATTCCCAAGTTTAGTCTCACTAGGAAAAAATTAATTGAAAACTTCTATTTTTCATAATTTGTTTATTTTTAGTTTAAATTAAATTCTTTTATGATTAGTTAAACATGTTAGAATTATCTGAATGAAAAGTTAATCTAAGAACTACGTACTTAGCTGTCAATATATTTGAATTACAAAGTGAACCAATAAAAAATCTAGGCTAATCTTTGGAATATGGTAACAGGTAGTTTGGCGACATTTTGGTAAGGCGATAAAGGTTACTAGCTAGGATTTTAGCAGTGTACATGGATAAAGTCAAGAGTGTGCGCAATGCCATTTTTGTGCAATTCTGGGATGCTTTTTTTAAGTGAAAACAGGTCGACATGTACATGGATACCGTGTATGTGCAATTCTTAAAAACGCGGCAAGCAGTTTGCGATTCTGCACTTTCTACCAATTTCGCACCTAATCTTCGTCATGATTAAGCCCTTTAGTTCCATAAAAGTTCTAGCATAAGCGTAATTCGGCTAGCAGATTGTTGAAAAGAAAAAAAAAATATATGCCTTTACTTCGTAAAAACAAAATGGCGTCCAAAACAAAACTAGCAGGTTGCTGTAGCAGGGTTGGTCGCCAAATTTTTGCCAAAAAATCGCCAAGTTACCATAATCCAAAGATTAACCAAAATCTCTTGCAAGTACCAATCTTTAGTTTAAATTTGTGTTTTTCCCCATTAGGTATTGCTTATATTATGCCTTGATAAATCTTTATTAAGCAAAATTTACAATTTATTTAAATTTTTTTATTTTGTTAATAAATTTTTTTCATTTTGTAAAAAAAATTCTGGCCCATCACTTGATTTTAGATTATGGAGGAGTTTGAAACCACTGCTGTATTTTAATGTTAATTTACTACTTTTATTCCTACAGTACAGTATTCACTACAGTATTCTGCTTAATTTACTCTTAAGACTCAAAATGAGACAAGCCAGACACACTTCAAAAATAATATAATCTTAAAAATTAAAATAACTTAAATCATTATTTCTATGCTTAATTTGACATACATTTTCACTTTTAAGGCATAAAATAAAACTTCAAAAATTTCAATAATTTTTCTTCATTAACTTTATTTTTAACATAAACTTAAGATTACTTTATTACAAAGATCAACATGAATTTATATTACTTTTTCCAAGTGGAAAATAATCTTGTTTCCAACTGAAAAAAAAATTATGCAGGACTAAACTGGTTAAATTGGAAAAATAAAAATCATGATGAAAATATGATCTTGAGAAAATTTTAAAAAATTGTCACCTTATAGTAAACCTCTTAAGATGAAAACACATTACATTTTATCTATGATGCATAAATATTAAGAATACAATCTCACAACATAAAATCATGGAATAGTCTGATTAAAATAAAGCTTACTTTTTCATGTTTATTTACAACAGCATCATGGAGTGGTGTGTCGCTATCTAATCCTGGAGCATTTACATCAGCACCAAACTGAATTAACAGCTTAACAATATCATACCAACCATAGTTGCATGCTTCATGCAAAGGAGTCCAACCTATGAAAGGATTACAAGCACTGTTTACTTTTAATATTCTTTACAGCTATTATAAATACCAATTTAGCAGGAATATCTATAAGATGGGAAGTTTAAAAAAGTGCACAGCAAAATCACAATCAATAAAAATACATAAGCAAGTAAACATAATAACAAAAGCTGACTTAATTATCTGAAGTAATAGCAGAATAAGATACAACACAAACTAAAAGCACAAGTAAAGCAAACAGGCATAAGAATTAGTTCATATATATACAGTACAAGTCTGAGATCTGGAATTGTTAGGACTTCAGCAATTCTGGATTTTGGATCGTCAGTTTAAATCCAGTTAAATAACATGTAGAAATTATAAAATTAAGGTACTTTAGAATTAAAATGACAACCTCGGTCAATCGCCAAAATTAAAAAATTAGTCACCATGCTTAATAAATTGGATTTTTGACTTTCAGATTGTTTTGATTCTTTTTCCTTTAAAATGTTTAGCATTTTTATTTATAACCAATTAGAAAAGAAACAATTTTTTTAGATATTCATAATGTGTCGCATGTTTGATTTTCATGCTCACTTCATGAAAATCACATGATATCATTCATCATTGATTATTTTCTTTCTAAATGTTGGAAACTTTTAACTTTAATTAAGCTCTTTGTATTTGTTCATTCTTCTTAATTTTTCATTATTAATTTTCCCTCTAAAATGTTAACCATATTTAACTTGCTATCAACTGAAAAAGAAATGGAGGTTTTCTTAACAGGAGTGTAGAATTTTGTATACTGAGCAAAAGTATAAAAATAGACATCAAATGAAACAATTTATATTGAAAACTGCAGCCAAATGATGAAACAAAAGACAAAGAGGACTGGCTGGGAAAACTGGCTGGGATTCATATTTAGAAGAATTTATTTGGTGGCACTGTGTAAGACACGACATATTTATATATTTTAGCAGCATAAGTCGAATTATGATCTCTACAAATGTCAATAAATGCTATTTCTCAGAAAGTAAATAAATATTATTTCTCTAAAAGTAAATAGATATTAAGGTTAAATGCTACCATACTTGCCAACCTATGACACTCAAAAATCAGGAGATTTTTTTTAAGAAATCAGGAGATTTTTCACAATGTAAAAAAGACTTTTTAAATGATGAAAATATAGTTTTTAATAATGAATTAACGGTACTTATGTATTAACGCAACCAGGCCAAAATTCGCAAAAATCGCCAAATTTGGCGACCCTACTTACGACAACCCTATACGTGTTATACGTAGTTTTTCGTAAAGAAATTATTCTTCTTACTGGTTAGATTGAATGCTCTGAAATACTTTAACTATGGGTATTTGGGATCTGCCCTGCGAGTGAAAAAGGATGCTGTTGAATTGTTGCAGGGATATGGAATTATATCGAACGAACGTACTCATAAAAATTCTCATAAAATGAAACTGTATTTTGGATAGCAAATCTTCTGGAAATGTAATGTCGAAGAGTGCAATCAACATTTGGGTGTGCGAACCGGAAATTGGTTTGAAGGTAGCCGAATTTCACTTGTGACAGCAGTGCGCTTCATTTATTGTTGGTGTAAAGAGTTAACCTCAATTAAATTTTGTGCAGAAGAGATGCAGGGGTGTTTGTGGGACCCCAAAAAATCCCCTGAAACTTTTACGGACTTACTACTGACATTTTGGAGTTTCGAGAAGGGGGGGGGAGAGAAATGAAAAATTACAATTATGAAGCATTGAATGACCTAATTATAAAAGTTCAATGAATTACTTTTTTTGCAAAATTAATAACCATAAATTTTCAAACATATAAACTACTACATTTTATGTAAATATTTTAAATTACCTGAATTAATTCTTTAAAAAAACATTATCTAATTTCTGCTGCTTTTTTTTTTTTTTTTTCTGATGTTTGTGGGCTTGTCTTTCTTTTGTGGTGAACTTCATAATTGCAGGAAGGTTGACTTTTATTTTCCTCATTGACAGTTGAAGAAATTTCCTCAAGAACTGCACATGCAGAGGTAGAAGCAGTTTGCTTTTCTGCTAATGTAGAAGGTTTCTCAGAGACTTTTATAGGTGACTCATCTGAAATACATGTTTTTAAGTCCTCTTGATATGTTTTCCAACTTCTGTTCATATTCAGTAAGAGATCTTTGTGAATTGGATCAGTCATTGGATTTTTTTAGCCATATTTTTCACGAGGTTTCTTTAGAAGCCATTAAATCATATTTAATAGTCTGCACTGCATCTAGGGAATCAATCTTAAGAGAGGTTCTATAGTCAGTGACAAGTGTATCCATTAAGTTGAATGCACTTTCCACTAATGGGCCATGGAAGCAGCTAAGGCAGGCTTTGACCAACTTAGCCAATGTAGGATACTTATAATCATTTGTGAAATCATCTTTTAAATTAAAAACTTTAGACCAATATTTATCAATTGTACACTTGACTTGATTTCCACTTTCATCAGATGTGTGTAGAGCATTTCTTTGGTGGTATCAATATCACTCTGGTATAACCTTATTTCAGCTTCTACTTTTGACTTTTCATTATCACTGAAATTATGGGACATAAAAGATGATAATTTTTCAAAAGCTAATATTGTACTGGTTTTACCTCTTAGCTCTGGATCTAATGCTGTAAAACTAATTACATATGAATTTTTAAGGGTTAATTTCTGTTTCATATGCTGTGCTGTATTAGTATAAGCTTTCATCAGAGAAATTTGGAATTATTTTGCTAATTGGATGATTTTTTGATAATTTCTTAAGGAGAGTGGAAGCTTCTGCACCAGTAAATATTACTTTGCTAGGTAGATGGAATTCTGGATTTGTGACATCAACCTTTAATAAATCATTATAAGATGTGCACTCTATATTTTCTGGCTTCATAAAAAAAGAGAAAAATTTTGCCATCAATTTATAAATACTGGAATGTATTAAATGAAGCATTGGTTTTTTTGTTTCAAATAATTCAATATATGTATTGAAGTCATAAAATGACAGGTAATACTGCTGAATATAATGCCATATGCAATAAAGTTTTGTTTTGCATAACAAATAACCCATTTAGTATTCTTTTTTCCGAGCTAAAGCAACCTTTTGTGAGTTGTTGGGAATGCAAGCAAGAATACACCCCTTCAACAATTTTTTTCTGAGCTGCAGAAATATTTCTTTTATTGTATACAGTTTCAACATAAGAAAAATAATCCCCTTTATCAGTTTTATCCAGTAGTGAAAATAAAATGCAATAAGAGCATCCCACAGATCTTTGATTCTTTCTAAAACACATAAAATGTACACCCACCTATGGTCTGGTCTCTTCAAGGGCTTAAGTTTTTTTAATGGCAAGGGATTCACAGATTTTGAAAAAATTTTCTCTTTACTGCAGCTTTTCATATCAAAATAGATGTCATCAAACAAATCTTCTAAGTATCTATCAAAACATGAAGCAATTTTTTTTTGCACAGTTATTAGCTGTGTGACATGTGTCACCATCAATATCTAATAAGTGGGGTGCTTTGTTTGATCGTAGTCTGGTTTCAACACCCTTTTTTTTTCCCACGCATGATGTTACATGAGTCCATTAATACACTAATTAAGTTTGCCCATGGAATATTATTATATTCAATAGTATTAACAACTGCTTTAAAACAGCTTCTGAATTGCAAGATTCCATCTTTAGAGATGCAAAATGATGAACTACAACTTCATTTTGATTGCTGTCATAAAACTGCACCGATATTGCCAGTATACTTTCTTGAGCATTGCTATTAGTACTTTCATCCAAATTTAGAGAAAATGGAGTCTCCTTTAAAGTTTTAATGATATTTTCCTTAATAGTTTTTGCGAGCCCATATTTCATCTTATAACATGCAGTAGTCCTGGACATTTCCAACGAGTTTAGTGCCGTCTGATCGCGGCTCAACTGTTTTGCAGAGTTCAATTAAATTGGGACTACATTGAAAGAAAGAGAATTCTCGGCGATAAACGAAGTATTTAATACCTCTTGGCGTGCTTTTCTTGTCACTATATCCAATGGCCGAGCATCAGTCTCCAGTAAGTCATCAGTATTTTTTGAATTAGCATAATTACTTAAAGTCATTGAATGTCTAATGCACTTTGAATATTTTATGTGCATCACACTTTTAGAATGATTTGTGAAAGCCTTGAATCCTTCCCCATCATACTTCAGCAGTGAGACAATATGCTTGTCCAGCAACATTTATTTTCTTGCACCATGGGCCGATGGTATCCCCATTACCATCTCTCCGTTCAATCCAATTCCACCTAAATGCATTCCGGACACCTTCTTCTAATTGTATAATATCACTATTTATATCGAGAAATTTCATAGTGAAATTCTCTTGCGTACATAAATAAAAAAATATTTCAATAAACGAAACGAAAAATTTACATGTGCATCAATAAATGAAACGAAAATTTTACGCAGTGGAGAAATAAAAGTTGAGAAGCGATCAATGACAAGTAGCTAATACGGCGAAAAATCCCTCTTCTCTACTTATTGGCGCCATGCCAGGAGAGATAAGACCTTTGAACTCAGAGTCACGTGATCGCACATCTGGTCGAACGAAGTCTCTCCCTGTTTTTTCCGCCGCGCCTACTTGCCGAAAAGAATCCAGAAGAGAATGTCCGAGAACCGGGGGAATGAGTCATAACTCGCAATAAGGAAAGAACAAAAAAGAAGTTTTTTTCCCCTTTTTACGCATTAACACTGCCTTTGGAGAAAGAAAGGAAAAGTTTTCACCACACACACTGACCTTACGTTTTTTGCTTTCAAAGCAAACAAAATTACCCAGATCAAAATAAATAATTCATTATTATTCCTACTTCCTTTTGAACGACGATCCCCGGAATTTCCGGGTATCGAAGTTCAAAATCCCCGGAGCACAAACACCCCTGGAGATGGGAATTGCTGACAAAACTGTTATAGATTGGAATAATTACAATGGCGAAGACGGTTTTCAATCAGTGCTAAAAGC